TGAGTTACAAAGGTTAACCTAGACTATAATGTCAATATTAATGCCTAGCCTAGAAACACGGGCATTACAAGATCCGCTAACCGAAGGGTTAAATAGGGAGTTAGTTGCAAAGTCGTCAAGAGGAATGGGATTGAAACCCATGAATGAATAAGTTATTGCGAAGGAAAACCCAACCTAGTTGACTGGAGATCCCAAGATCTAGGTTCAATGGAACAACTTACTTGCATATAACATATGTGGATCACTGTGGGGGTCAACCCCAACCCATTCCTATAAAACAAAAAGTGATGTCGCTTAAGCTTATAGTAGTTGATGATAAGTTAGTAATCATAAAGCTTTAGCTTTTAATGATTATGATATAATCACCTGTATAAGAGAGAAGTAGGGTCGTTTCAAAGGGAATTGAATGGGCAAGTTCCTAAGAGCTCTTACAGAACCAGACAAGTGCCATGACCATAACGGACACCTAAATGAGAACCTAACTAGGTCAGGGAGACTCATGTGAGATATATATTGATTATTTACACATATGGAGGAATAGTTCAAGGAAATTGAGTCTACTTCTCTACCAATAAAATAAATATGTATCTTAAGGGAATGTTCAAAGGGTAACACCTGTCTATCCTATGCATGATTCAGTTGCTGGATTTTACCTAAGCAACATGAAATTGTTGAAACAATTTTCATTCATGTGGGGGATTGTTCGAAAATTAGTTTTACTAATTTCCAAAAATGGGGGTTTCCCATTTTTGAGCATGAATTTTGAACTCTAAATGTAATAAAAAAAGGTCAAATGATTATATATTCGTGTTCTCCTCCGTGCTACCTTCGTTTTGATATATTACACGTACAAAACAAATTAAAATTAAATGAGAAATTACTTACAAAGTAAGGTAGTTGAAAGAGATTAAAAAAAAGTTAATTGGGTTTTGTTCCATCCCATATTGGTGGGAGTATGAAAATAAAATGGGTTTATAACTACAAAGACTAGCTACATTTGTAAGACTTATAGAACCAATGCTCTTTCTTGCGCGCGCACGTAAGCGGGAGGGGGGGGGGGTGAAAATGCGAGCCAGTTTGGCTTTGAGCCACTGAACTTGTGTGCGAGCGTGCGTTCTGCGGGTACGAATGCACCACCGCTCGACCAGAAAAGTTCAGGGACCTTTTTGCAATTATTTTCTTTTTGGTTTACAGGAAAAAACTCGAATTAAGGCTATTAATAGGAGATTTCGGCTTTGATCTACTGTTTAATTGACTATTACGTTTTGATGTATAATGAAATCAGTTATGATTTACAGTATAAATATAGCATCTCCTTGACTGTTTAGATAACATCGAATGAATCAAAACCAGTCTCATCTTTCTCTCTTACGCTCCTGCTTCTTCTTCTTCTTCTTCCATCTTTTGCTGCAACAAAGGTGTAATCCGGACCAATTAAAGGTTCAAGTAATCTAGAAGAATTGCTTTCTACTTTTGTATCCTGGGAACAAACACCATATAGGGCGAATTTATTTTAAGGAGATTGTGTCAAACACAAACCTCAATAACAATTTATTGTTTGTTCTTTCGTGCAGATCCTAGGGTTATATTTTTCCTAACAGAGGGTAATAACTTTTCAAATTTATCCACATTAGGAGCCTAAGGTCTTTTTTGTACATATTACACCAACATGGTTGTTAGAACCGTTTTAAATGTCCCCCTTTTAAACGTTAAAGTGACGATATTTAAACGGATATAACAACCATGTTGGTGTAATATGTACAAAAAGAACCTTAAGGACCTAACGTGGACAAATTTGAAACCTTATTACACTCCTAGGTCATTAACCCTTCTAAAAGAGATTACAAATATAAGATTTGTCGGGGATACCCCTTTACTTGTCGGGGATACCTCTTTACTTTGTCATTGGCTCTGCCACTGACTGATAAGGTATCTGCAATTTATATAATGACATAAAAGGGCATTTAAAAAATATGTTTTCAATAATTAATTAAGGAGTATATTTGAAAAATAAAATAAAAAAACTCTTAAAAAGCTAGTCTAAGTAGCTTTTTAAAACGCTAGCTTATAAGCTACTTTTTTGGCTTGCCAAACATCACAACTTAAAAAAGATCAAAAAATAAGCTAGTTTATCTGCTAGTTGTGACACGTTAAACATAGTCTTAATCATTAAGACTTTGATTATTATTAAATTTTTTTTCTTGTAAAAACGACAAAAAATTGTTATGCAACGTTTCAATTGAAACTGTTGGTCGTGGTGAATGAACGACTAAAAAAAGAAGATGAAATGAAGAAACCATCTAACTAAATACATATAAATTGTAAAAGAGTTAAATGAAATGATAAAAATATTAAAAATGATATTTAAGTCATTACAAGCAAACATGCAACTGAAAGTTGGAACCATAAGACTAAGACTATCTGTGTCAAAAAATAAATACTAAATTTATTATTTTTTGTAAATCATAATGTCCATTTATTTAATTATTCTAAAAGCTTTTAAGCGTTAATGACCAAGGTGGGTAATAAGGTTTTATCCACATTATGTCTCTAGGGTTTTTTTTGTACACATTACACCAACATGGTTGTTATAACCGTTTAAATGTCGTCATTTAAACGATTATGACAATCATGTTGATATAATATGTATACAAAAAAGACCATATGGATCTAATATAGACAAAATATATACAACCATGTTTTGTACACACGGTAAGAGGGACGACATTTTTTGTACACACCGTAAGAGGGAAGAAATTTAAACGGTTATAACAACCATGTTGATATAATATATACAAAAAAGACGATAAGGACCTAATATAGACAAAATTGAAACCTTATTACCCTCCTAAATCATTAAGAAGATTCTCAACTTCAAAAAGCAAACTAAAAATAATACTAATAACTACTATTTATTGTAACACCCTTTTCAACATAACATATATGGTAGGACTTGGGAGCATTTGAACCCATAAATCTATTCATTTCTTTCAACATATTTTTATTATCATTATTATATGAACAAATGGTGTAATGATATTTGTATACAGCTATAAAAATAGAAATACTTCTATTTTTCGTAATTTAAAAACTATATTTGATAAATAAACATCCTTTTCGAAATTGCATTAGCTTTTTGGTGATCTAGACACCTCCTCACGTCTTTATTTTTTGTTTTTGTTTTTGAATTTAATTAAAAATTTACAAGATAGAGGAACACGTGAAGACCAAGAGGACTGACACGTCCGCCTGTCATAACAAGCGCGTGACGCAAAAATTCCAGTTGGCATCCCTACTTTCTTTGCTGGCCGACCTTATCCCCTTCTTCCTTCCCCCATTTCACCTTCATTTTTCATTTTCCTTTTTTCTTTTTCCTTTCTTCACATTTAAATAATCTCAATCCTCTCTACTTCTCTTCTCTAACAACAGCTTTTCCACAACACCAGCACCTTCAAGATCCATCTCACACATATATTTAGGATCAAACCCTAGATTTTCTTCTGACTTCCATCTCACTTTTCATCTCATCTCAATCATACAGGTCAGTTTCCCTGACAAAGCTCTTTTTGTTTTTGTTTTCTTTAATGTTCTTGACATGTATCTCAAGGTTTCGATGCTGATTTCTATGTTTCTTTATGTAAACAATTGCGATTGGTTTGTGTTTTGTTTTGTTTTGTTTCTGTTTGGATTCCAATTAATGTATCGTTGACTGACCTATGCCGATTTTGACTTGGGTTTTTGAGTTTGTTAGGGTTCTGTTGGATTTCTTGGATCTATGTGTTTCTTTTAATGTGTTGATGCTTGTTTGCCCAATTGCAGATCATTGTTTACTCCGACTGGGGTTTCCAATTTCGATTAGAATTAGGGGTTTGGTGAATTCTGGTCGAAATTAAAATGATTTCGAAATCGTATGCAAACTTGTTAGATCTAGCTAACGGGAATTTCCCAGCTATGGAAGAACCCAGAAGGAAGATGATCTCCAGGACAATGACTGTCCCCGGAGTTCTAACAGAGCTCGACGATGATCAAGCTCGCAGCGTTTCATCCGACGCCCCTTCAACAGTTATGGCGGATAGGTTAATCGTTGTAGCCAATCAACTCCCGATTAAAGCTACACGGAAAATCGATGATAATGGCGAATCATCATGGAGCTTCACCTGGGATGAGAATTCTTTATATAAGCACATAAAAGATGGTTTGCCTGATGAAATGGAGGTTATCTACGTAGGCTCACTTAGGGCTGACATTGATCTTAACGAACAAGACGATGTTTCACAGATTTTGCTAGAGAGATTCAAATGTGTTCCAGCGTTTCTCCCTCCCGATGTTTTAGACAAGTATTATCACGGATTCTGCAAGCAACATCTATGGCCGCTCTTCCATTACAGACTACCGTTTTCAGCCAGCCATGGTGGTAGATTTGACCGGTCTTTATGGGAAGCGTATGTAGCTGCAAACAAAATATTCTCTCAAAAGGTAATCGAAGTTATAAATCCAGATGATGATTACGTCTGGATTCATGATTATCACCTAATGGTACTTCCATCTTTCTTAAGAAGACATTTCAATAGACTCAGAATGGGTTTCTTCCTCCATAGCCCATTCCCATCTTCAGAAATCTACAGAACTTTACCGGTAAGAGAAGAAATCATCAAATCACTTCTAAACGCCGATCTTCTAGGGTTCCACACATTTGACTACGCCCGACATTTTCTTTCTTGCTGTAGCAGAATGCTCGGGTTGGAATACCAATCAAAACGAGGCTACATCGGATTGGAATACTACGGGAGAACAATCGGAATCAAAATCATGCCAAGTGGAATCCACATGGGACAAATGGAATCCATATTAAGACAACCCGAAAAACAGACACGTGTCCACGAGCTTCAACAACAATTCCAAGGAAAGACAATTCTCTTAGGTGTCGATGATTTGGACACCTTCAAAGGCGTAAACCTAAAAGTCTTAGCAATGGAACAAATGCTGAAATCACACCGATCATGGATTGGACGCGCAATCTTAATCCAAATCTTGAATCCAGCTCGTGGAAAAGGTCGCCATGTGGAAGAAATCGAAGCTGAAATAAGAACAAGCACTGAAAGAATCAATCAGGAATTGGGGATTCCAGGGAGTAATTACAATCCAATCATACTTATCGACACCCCACTTTCTTTAACAGAAAAAGCCGCTTACTACACAATTTCAGAAGCTGCAATTGTCACAGCCATTAGAGACGGAATGAATCTAACCCCATACGAATACATCGTATGTAGACAAGGTATCTCAGGGTCAGATTCGTCAAATTCCCCTCAAAAATCCATGTTAGTAGTATCCGAATTTGTCGGGTGTTCACCTTCTTTAAGTGGGGCCATACGTGTGAACCCATGGAACGTGGACGCCACATCAGAAGCCATGTATGAAGCTATTTCAACTTCCGACCTTGAAAAACAAATGAGACATGAGAAGCATTATAAATACGTAAGCAGCCATGAAGTTAGTTATTGGTCTAGAAGCTTCTTTCAAGACCTTGAGAGAACATGCGTTGAACATTTCAGAAGACGATGTTGGGGAATCGGATTGAGCTTCGGGTTCAGAGTCGTCGCCCTCGATCCGATGTTCAGGAAGTTGACAAGTGGCGCGATCGTGGCCGCATACGAACACGCTCAAAATCGAGCTATTTTATTAGACTATGATGGCACTGTGATGCCACAATCATCGATTGATAAACGCCCGAGTCACGAAGTCATTTCGATTTTAAAAAAATTATGTAACGACCCGAAAAACACGGTGTTTGTTGTTAGTGGAAGAGGGAGAGAAGATCTTGCTAAATGGTTTGCTCCGTGTGAGAGGCTTGGAATTGCAGCTGAACATGGTTACTTTATAAGGTAAGAATTTGTTATTTTACGGTTTTACCCTTTTGGGTAAATGCTGAAGGGTTGATATGATTGGTGACAGGTGGCCGGGGGAGAAAGAATGGGAGACGTGTGCGCAAGGGATGAATTTTGGGTGGATGCAGATGGCGGAACCGGTGATGAGATTATATACGGATGCGACTGACGGGTCGTATATTGAAAGGAAAGAAAGTGCGTTGGTGTGGCATCATCAGGATGCGGATCCGGGTTTCGGGTCGGCCCAAGCGAAGGAAATGTTGGATCATTTAGAAAGTGTTCTTGCTAATGAACCGGTTGTGGTCAAAAGCGGTCAATATATTGTTGAAGTCAAACCACAGGTATTCTATTGGTTGATTTCGTTTCATAAGGGTTAATATCATAAAAAAAAACTTTACATATTGAGTTTTTCGGGATTAAACCTTATATTTTTTTTTTCCTAAAAGAGACTTTTTTTTTGTTTTTTTTTTCATTTTTTCCGAAAAATCCCACAACTTTTTTTTTTTCCAAGAACAAAAACCATGAACCTATTAATTTTTTCTGAAAAAATCCTCAAAATTTTTTATATTTTTCCCAAAAAACCCTCATTTTATATTTATATTTTTTTTCTGAGGGTTAATCTAAAAAAACCTTATATTTTGTGTTTTTTTGGGATTAAACCTCATTTATTTTTTGCCTTAAAAAACATATTTTTTTGTTTTCTCCGATCTGATCATTTTTTTCCTAAAAAATCATGAAATGTGAGGGGTTTTTTTGAGAAAAACTAAAAAGGTTAGGGTTTATTTGGAAGCATTTAGAAGGTTGAGGGTTTTTTTCGGAAAAAAGTACAAAGTTGAGGACTTTTTCCGGAAAAATAAAAAAATACATGGTTTTTTTCAGGCAAAAAATAAATTTAAGGTTTAATCCCGGAAAAGCACAAAGTATATGGTCTTTTTTTAGATTAACCTTTTAAAAAAAAAAAACCCTCACATTTTACAAGTCTTTTCCAAAAAAAAAAAAAAAAAAGCTAAAAGGGTCGAATTGAAAAAAATGAAAAACTGCTAGGTATTTTTCAGAAAAAAATAAAGTTGAGGTTTAATCCTGAAAAAAACCATAAAATATAAGGTCTTTTATGATATTTACTCATTTCGTAACCCATACTTCGAGTTGAATTATTTGAGTGACTAAAGTTGGTTGTTATTGTTGTAGGGTGTGACGAAGGGTTTAGTGGCAGAGAAGATATTTTCATCGATGTTTAAGAAAGAAAGAAGGGCTGATTTTGTGTTGTGTGTGGGGGATGATAGAAGTGACGAAGATATGTTTGTGATGATTGGGGATGCCATAAAAGGAGGTGTCATTTTGAATGTGAATAATCGATCAGTGTTTGCATGTACTGTGGGACAGAAACCAAGTAGGGCAGAGTATTATTTGGATGACACAGTGGAGGTTATGAATATGATTGAGAATCTTGGTGACGTGTCAGTGTCTGAAAATGAAGAAGAATCTGAAGAAGAAGAAGATGATGATGATGGGAGTGAGTCTTGATGTTTATGTTAATTCGAATACCTCTGCTTGGGGTTGTACATTCTGAAGCGGAGGTTGTACATTCTGATGAAGAAAGTAAAAGGAAGGAGGTAATGGTAAAGAAGGAGGGTTTTTAGATTTTATAGGTTAAAACAGGTGAGTTTGTTTATTGGGAAGATGGATGGGAGATTAAAAAAGAAAGGTAAATAGAGGTGCCGATGTTGAAAAAAAAGATTGTTTTTTCTTTCTTTCTTTCTTTGTGTCTTCTGAATGAACAGATGAAATGAACTGAACTGTGAACTGGAAGTGGTCCATTGATGTGTATGTAAATGTTGATAGATTCTTCTTCTACCATTTGTTTCTTTCAGGTTTTGCAATAGTGCTTTCGTAACTCTTGTCATTTTGCTTTCTGTTTGGAATTTTTGGTTTGAGGTTGAGGCTCCCAAGATTGGTTAAGTTGTATCTATGGAGATCAATTTTATTTTTGGAACGTTAAGAGAGGAAACAGGAATTATTTGTATAAAGAGAAATTAAATATCCTTCTGTTTTTGTTTGTTTTTATTTTTCTACTCATATCAAATAATAAGGAGTCATAAAATTTTAATAATTTTATCAAAATGTGATATTTGTCATAATTTTATATGGCTAGGAAGATAAATAAAAAGAAAATGTTGAATAATGGTTAACACTTAAGAGATTACATATAAAATATAATAAAGTACAAAAAGCTTATGCATACAGATATAAAAAAAGTAATATAACTTTGTGTCCTTGGATTTCCACAGTTAACACACACCGAACATATTACATACAAAACAAATTACTCATTACTCTACGGTGCATATTTGTGTAATGTGTTTGTGTGAACAAAAGACTAAAATAAGTGAGGAAGTACAGCACAACAACATCAAATCGATCACATGTTGGATCATATTTAATAGAATAATAGATGATATATATATATATATATATATATATATATATATATATATATATAAACTTAAGTACTCAAACTTACAATACTATGTCGTTTTGTATCTTATATGCATTGTAAATTTGTAATCGTTCAAAGTTCTTAAAATTCTACTCCTAACTTGATTTACGTATAGGATTTTTATAAATTTCACAATTATCATCTTCTTACATAATTTTCATTTTCAACTATAACATATATAGTCTCGTTGGTGACATATATAATCTCGTTGGTGATCGAGAAAAATATGTGATGTAAGAAGAAGATAATAATAAAATTCAAAAATCTTGAAAGTAAATCAAGTTAAGGTTGAAAGTTTAGAACGTTATAATGTATATATGATACAAGCCATGTATTATGGTATGTTTATCTACCTAAACTTATATACCTTTAAAGATAGATTCACTTTTTCATATATATATA